GTTTTTTTTTTTTTTTTTCAAAGCAAAACTGTCGGCTGTATAGTTTAAGATTCTTTTTTTTTTAGTTTTTTCTTTCTGCTTTTTTTTTGGCGATAAACTTAAAAGAGATCTATTTGCTGTTTTTAGTGATCAGTTGGATAATTAGTGGAGTTAATAGTTAATTGCCAAAAAAAAAAAAAAACAAAGAAGAAAAACAAAAGACAAAAAATATTGATGATTTTATTTTAGCCACTAATTTTTTTCTTTTTTTTTCTCTACTTTTTTAAAAGACATTTACTAAAACAAAACGTTTCCTTAATGTAAAACTCTCTTTCGCTAATGTCATCACTTTCAAACCTTACAAAATGTATAAATTATTAAGAAAACAAATAAATATAAATAAATGATTTGCTTTTTAATCATAAGTGTTTTTTTTTTCGGAAGATCACTCAGCACCACTTTTTGCAATAATTAAATTATTAGCGGTGAGTAAAGCGAAGCAAAAAAAGAAAATCATTTGTGTCGTTTTCAAACGCTGACAGACTTTTGCATATTTCAAATCTACATTTTTCTCTTCTTTGCATTCTGATTACTTTACTCTAATATATACTTATTTTTTTTTCCCCCGCACTATCCAACATCTTTTTCTTAACTTTTTTTGATTTTGATTTTAACTATGCTATGGCTCAAACAATCATTAACATTTTTGGTGATGGTTACAGTATAAAGCAGATCAAAAAGTTTGATGAGTTTAAACAAACATTTTTAGAGTGGGATAACCAGTCGTCGTTTTATTTAAACGGATATCAGCGTTTTTTACGCCAACGCCGATACTTCTTGTTTGCTGATATTTTTGGATGCGTTTATTGCAAAATAGAGAACAGCTAGCCAAACACTCCACTGAACGCTGATGACGTTCAGGTCAGTTTCTGTTGTCGTTACTGCTTTACTACTACTACTACTACTACTACTACTACTACTACTACTGCTACTGTTGCTCGTTTACTTGAACTGCTGATCGATTGAACAGAACAACAATCAACTAAGTGTCTGGCGGATCTGTGACAAGCCAAGTTGTATTCGTGCACTAGCTAAGCCAGTGGATAAACCAGATAACTCTACCATTAGCTGTCTAATCAACTAATTTCAAAAACAATTCTTGGTATCTTAAAGTTCTTGTTTTTTTTTTTTAAAGCTAAATCAAAACAGAATATATAGCTAAGCTTAGTTATTCTTGTCAAAGCTCCAATTCAAACTAATCCATTAATCATGAAAATTTCCTCATGCAGCTGAAAACGTAAGGTCTCTAATAAAGAAAAAAAAAAATTTCTTCCTTTTTGAAGTTATGATCCGATTCTACAAGGCTTAAGTTCAATATATAAAAAGTTCAAAAACGTTTGTTAGGTTTTATAAATAAATAAATATATATTTATGTATATATATTTATATAAATGTAATGTTAGCTGAAAAAAAAGTGCATAGAAAAAAGTGGCAAAAGTCGGCTAATGTTTTGCTCTAAATCAAACTAACTTTAAAAACTAATTATTATGCATTCGACATTAGTGTTTTCTCTTACAGCTTCAATTCGCCTAATTTCAACAATCTAATAAATCTGTAAAAAAAAAAAAAATCATTAAAAAAAA